GGCCAGCCCACTGGCAGGTTAATGAGTGTGGGATCAATTGGGAAGGTGGGAAGGGGAACTGGTGGGGGGCTGGCCTGATGGGAGGGGGCTTCCCACGACTAGGGGGCTGGGGACGCCTTGGCCCTCTTTTGCTGACCCTTCTTCCAGCCTTGTCTCTCCCCAGTTTCCCCTCGCTCCGGGCAGGGGACACCCAGCGTGCTCTGCAGCAGAAAGGACTGAGGTTAGACTGAAGGAAGGACTTCTCCAGGGATAGGCCATGAGCCATGTGCGTTGGGGCTATGGAGGAGGAGGAGGGGAAAGGAGGAGGAGGAGGAGGAGGAGGAGGAGGAGGAGGAGGAGGAGGAGGAGAGGAGGAGGAGGAGGAGGAGGAAGAGTCAGGGTGGGTGGCCGTCCATCACTTAGGCTTCTCCCCAGATTCATGGGTCCAAAGACTGACTCATTATCTCTCTCTACAAAGCTAATTAACTCACTCCGAGCGTGGCCTGATAAGCTGCTAATTAACTGGCTGCACAGAGCCCCCCTCCCCAGCGCAGAAGCTGGCCAAAGTCCCTCAGGCCCCGCCCCAGCCAGGCCCCGCACCCCTGAGGGTTCACTCCTAAGGAGGGACCCTCATGGGGGCCCAGATCCTTTTGTCCCTCAGGGAGACCTAGCCACTGTGGTCCCCGTGTACCCTCCCTGCCCCTTTCTTGAGGTCTCCCCTCCACTGGAGGTTGGGGGGTAGGCTGGTCAGAGCTGACCCTCTCACTTCCCCCACCAGGCCCAGAGCCATGCCTCCCTCAAGTCTTCCCTCCCTCGAGTCCTGCCTCCCTCCGCTCCCTCTGCAGGGGGAGGGGTCTCCCGGGGCCGATAATTTCCCCCCATTAATCAGGCCGCAGCTAATTGTTCGGGTCCAAAGGCGGCAGCGGAAGGGGACGGGATCGGTAAGGAATTAACTGGGGCCCATCGCTCAGAGCAGACAGGCCCTTTTGTCAGGACCGGCCGGCGGGGGCGGGCGGCGCGGGCTGCGGAGTCGGCCAGCCGGGGCTGGGCCGCTTCTCCCTCCACCGCCCTCCGCTTCGCCCCGCCGGCCGCTGCTCAGGGGAGTCCGGCTGCTCAGCACAGTCAGGAGGTCCTTCTTAGGGTCTACTCCAGGGGTCGGCAGACTGAAGCTTGGGGACCAAATCTAGCCTCCTGAGAGTTAAGAATGCCATTGTATTTTTAAATAGTGTAAAAACCTCACTCCCAGACGTGTGAAATTCGAATTTCAGAGTCCATAAACGACGTTTTATTGGAACAGAGCTGCCCAGCTGCTTTCAGCTACCATGCAGGGCAGAGTCGCTCTGGAGAGACCGTTTGGCCCATAAAGCCCGGACATCGCACATCCGGCCCTTTGCACAAGTTTGCCTGCCCCGGGTCTAGCCTCCTGCGCCTCCTCGGGGCTCTCCAGGCTCTGCCTAGAATGCCACCTCCCTCCCACCTCCCCTTCCTTTCCTTTCTCCGTGCCCCGCCCTGTCCCCCCCCCCCCGACCTCGTCCCAGCATCTCACTGCTCCAGCCTCCCCCCTCCCCCCAGCACCCCGGGATGCCCGGAGGCTGGGTCCTCTCCTACGGCCTGACTCTCCGCTCCCCACCCCGCACCAGGGACGCCGGTGAACCGCGTGCCCATCATGGCGAAGCAGGTGCTGGACCTGTACGCGCTGTTCCGCCTGGTGACGGCCAAAGGCGGCCTGGTGGAGGTCATCAACCGCAAGGTGTGGCGCGAGGTAACGCGCGGCCTCAGCCTGCCCACCACCATCACCTCGGCCGCCTTCACGCTCCGCACCCAGTGAGGCCCGGGGGGGGGGGGGGGGGGGGGTAGGGGAATGGGGGGGGGGGGTGGAGGGAGTGCGAGGCGGCTCCGGGTCCCGATCGCCGGGCGCCGCTTCCCCAGCGCACACGCCCCCCGCCCGCCCGCAGGTACATGAAGTATCTGTACCCGTACGAGTGCGAGACGCGCGCGCTCAGCTCCCCCGGGGAGCTCCAGGCCGCCATCGACAGCAACCGGCGCGAGGGCCGTCGCCAGGCTTACACCGCAGCCCCGCTCTTCGGCTCCACCCGGCCGCCCCCTCGGGGCACCCCGGGCCCCGCCTCCGTGCCCGGCTCCGCCCTGCCAGCGCCCCCGCCCGGCCCCCGCCCCGCCCAGGCCTCCGCCTCCAGGCTGCCGGCGCTCGCCTGCGCGCAGCTGAGCCCGAGCCCCATTAAGAAAGGTGTGAGGGGGCGAGGCGCTGGGGTTCTTATGGGGCTCTGAGACCCAGGGGTACGCTGAGATATAGGGAACATTAACATAGGGGACAATGAAGTGCGGGAGGCGTGGAGGGACGGGGCAATGGGGACTGATGGGGCACTGAGATTTGATGCACTCTGATCTTAGGGGTCCTGAGGTTTGGGGTCAATGAAGCCTTGTGGACCCCGGAGTAAGGGTTACTGTGGTAAGCGGCTGAAGGTCCTTTATCCAAAGCAATTCCATTTACACCTGTCCACCCAGGGTTCCTATTTGCATGTGGTTTGTGCCTTCTGTGACCTGGATTATTTAACAACTGAGAACAGGAGATCCTCCAAATTTTGGGCCAATTTAGACGTATATTGGCACTTTGAGTCCTAGCCGATGTGGCTCAGTTGGTTGGATCGTACTCCTGTACACCAGAGGGTGGTGGGTTCTATTGACACATACCTGGGTTTCAGAGGCAACCGATTCTCTCATTCTCTCTCTCTCTCTCTCTCTCTCTCTCTCTCTCTCTCTCTCTCTCTCTCTCCCCCCCCCCCGCCCCCAATCTCTCTATCTAAATAACAACAAATCAACATATTGGCTTTTTGGGCTCTCCAGTTTCAAGCCTCTAGGCTGAGACTCCGGATGGGAATGGAGATTGAAGATGGTGCTTGAACTTGGGTGACTGACCTCCCTCGGTGTCAGGCCTGGGGAGAGAACTAAATGCAGAGACTGACGTGATTGGGTCAGGGGGGCTGAATCGCCTGTTTTTCCAGAAGAGAGTGGAATTCCAGCTCCTCGACTGGCACTGCCTGTGGGCCTGGCCCTGGGACCTGCACGGGAGAAGCTGGCACCAGAGGAGCCTCCAGAGAAGAGGGCTGTGCTGATGGGGCCCATGGAGCCACCTCAACCCGGTGCACCCCCGAGTTTTCTGCCCCATGGCAAGGTTCCCCTAAGGGGTGAGGAAGGGCTTGTTGCTAATAGGGTTTTGGGCCTGTGCACAGTGGGAGGACAGACCCATTACCTGATAGGCATTGGAGGTGGGGCAGGCAGATCCCTAAATAGACAACTGTGTGATTATAGGTTGAGGCTGAAGTTGAATGGGGGTATCTATGGGGATGGAGGGGGGAGATTGTAAGTCTGAAGTGTGATTCCCAAAAATGTGACTCCCCTGCCCCCTTCTGGACAGAAGAGCGGCTGGATGGGCCTCTCAATCTGGCGGGCACTGGTATCAGCAGTATCAACATGGCCCTAGAGATCAACGGGGTGGTCTACACAGGTATGGGTACTGCATGCTGTCTGCACTGGCATGGGGTCAGGGGTATTTACATTGGCGTGGGGATTTTAGACTTTTTCTACTTACATGAGATTCAGGGATATCCAAACTTGCATGGGTAATATGGGGTTCAGGGGATTGCTGCATTGGCATGGGTTAAAGGGTCTGTCCACATGGCATGGGGGTCAAGGCATGACCCTCTATAAGTACCATGGTTACCATGGGATGTCAGCCTTGTCATGGGCCTATCTATTAGTGTAAATATTGTTTACTTGTTTGAGGGTATCTATGTTAGCATAGGAGTCTCTGACTGACCCAAGGGTTTGTCCTCATTGGTTTGTGGCAGAGGTGTGTGTGGTGTAGCGATAAGGTCACTAACTTTTGTTTCCTTCTTCTGTTTCCCTGTCATTCCCTCTCCTGCTTGTATTTTCCCTCTACCATCTCCTCACCCCTTTGCCAGGCATACTCTTTGCCCGCCGCCAGCCTGTGCCAGCTTCCCAGGGCCCAATTAACCCTGTGCCCCCAACCCCTACAGGGCCCCCTTCCAGCACCTCACCCTGAGAGCTCCCACCTTGAATTAAGAGTCCTAGCCCATTGCTGGTGGGCGGGGGATGGGGGGAGACACCCCCTCCACTTTGATTCTTCCAGAGGGTTCACCCTAGGATCCAGTCCTGGGAGGTGACCACTCCCCCCACATGCCATATGGACTTGAAGCCAAAGTGTTGTTTGTTTGTTTGATGTTATATCTACCTCATTGTAAAGGGAGGGCACTTCCTCTCTGGCCAGTTTCAGCAGCATCTACCAAAGAGTCCTGCCCCTAGTAACCCCCATCATCTCCTCACTTTGTCGATGTCATGTCTAGGACCCTACCTCTTGGAGTCAGACCTGCTTCTTCTCTTCAGGAGCCATATGAAGGGTTGCATTGGGATGTTGTGAAGGAGATGTCCCTCTGGATAATAAAGCTGTAGTCCCTCCCTTCCTCCCCAGTGCCTCTTCTTGTTTGTATGTGGGGGTTGGAAAAGGAATTATGTGGTTTACAGGCTGCGTTGGGCCAAGGGTTCTCAGAGGGAAGACAGAACAGCAAAGGCCTATGAGAATAGAAGAGCTCGGTCTCATGAGTCCGACTGCCGGGGTTCAAATCCTGATTGTGCCACTGTAGTACTGAGTGGTCCCACCGTTTGAACCTTATTAGACTCTAAAAGGTTATGGTATCTATTGATCTAAACTTTAGATTCTAAAGGAATGGACCAATCCTGGAATAATGAGTGTATTTATATGTGCAGCTTCGGGGAATGAGGTGGAGAAACCTCTTTGGTACCATGAAACGAGAAGAAGAAAGGTAAAGGTTGTCTTGACAAACAGGCGTAGTCGTTGCCTAGGTAACCAGACAACTTTCGACTCTCTTCGCTGGCCCAGCCGGCCACTTCCGGCACTGAAGGCCTGGGACGTGACGTCACTTCCTAAACGGAGGGGAGCCCGTGCACTCGGATTGGCTAGCCTTCTCCTACTTGGACGGACATCCCGCCCTCCAGCTGTTCCCTGGTTGAGGCGGGGCGGAAGCGATGGCGGCTGTGACCGATGTGCAGCGGCTGCAGGCCCGCGTAGAGGAATTGGAGCGCTGGGTGTACGGACCGGGTGGGGCACGCGGCTCGCGGAAGGTGAGCGGGTTGAGCCCAGGAGTCCCTTTCTGAGGCAGAGCGAGGGCGGGCTGCTGGCCTGTGCCTCGGGATGGATGCCGTGCCAGTCCCGTCGCCTACCGTCCGGCCTTTGAAATAACAAAGGTCCGAGACCTCCCGGAGCACTTTGGACCCCCTGGGTCCATGCCCTTGCAGGGAACTGCGGGGTATTAGGTATTAGGCCCGTCTAAAACGGGCTCAGGATGAACCCTAAGACTCTGCACCTGCCAGCTGTGGAGACCTGACACCCTCCGGAAGCTGGCTAGCGAGAGTTTCAGAAAGAGCTGCAGCCCACGAAGCCCTTTGTCGCGAAGCCCTGTGTAATTAATTGCTAAGTGAATTGTGCAGAAGGAGGTCCATGGGATTAGAGGAGGCAGAGCAGAGGTGCTTAAGGAAGGCTCCGGGGCGCTGGAGGGGGGGTTGCCGGGGCGGGGTGGGGTGGGGGGTAAGAGATGAGGTCACTGGGATTAGGAGGGGAAAGGATTGGACACTGGGTTTTTCGATATGGACTGGCACTTCTTCACACCAGTAACTGAATTTTGACAACTGTGAAGCCCAGTGGCCCTCTTATCCCCTTTTTCACTATGGGAAGACCTTTTACTGAAGGTGGAGTGTCGGATATCCTGGATTTAAGTGCACCAGAGGCAGTGATATCTGTACACCCTTGTGGAACTAGTGGGTGCTAGCAGAATGTGCCCTATTTGAGGACGGACTTCTCAAAACATTCTCTCCCTTAGACATCTATGATGCTTACCCTCATGGTTTTTCTTCTACAAGAATGACTGTGCTGCTCAGTTTTATTTGCCTCCCCATATATTTGACCCTTGAATTTTGGGTGAGATCATTCACTTCCATTGCCTCTCCATCTATTCAGCCCTTTAATATTGGGATTCCTCATCCTCTTCCCTTAACGTCTAGGTAGGTTCAGTCAGAGAGGTGGGAACCAGAGAATATATGATCTCGGAATACATAATAATCTGGCCACTCGGTGTATATCCTATATAATAATCCTATATAATAAAAGGCTAATATGCAAATTGTCTCCTCGATCAGGAGTTCCACCAGCAGGCAGGCTGGCCAACCACCCATGTCTCCTCCCTCTGGCCAGGCTGGCTGGATCCCACCCATGCACAAATTCATGCAGCGGGCCACTAATATATATATATACTGAGTGGCCAGATTATTATGTGTTCAAAAATCATAATAATCTGGCCATTCAGTATATAGTATATGCCAGTGTCCCATAAACTGTAAAATAGTTCATTATCTCCCCAATCAAACTAGAAACTCCCCCAAGGAGTACATGATTATCTCCCTGTTCACATTGAGGATTCCTGGAAAGTAGAGTTACATCTCCTTTAATACAGGAGAAAGTGACCAACCTAGATTTCTGTGGCAAAGAGGTTTGGGGGTCTGAGGGAATGAGGGTTCTTCGTATCTTCCAAGCCTTGAACCAGGTGGTGCATCTTGGAAATAACTTTCACTCCCCTTACAGGTGGCTGATGGCCTGGTCAAGGTGCAGGTAGCTTTGGGGAACATTGCCAGTAAGAGAGAGAGAGTGAAGATTCTGTACAAAAAGAGTAAGTTTCAGTCAGGCGCCTGCCTGCCGCCTTCTTTCCCATGCCTGTACTCCCTGAGGACTGGCTTGGTTCTTCAGCCCCTTAGGTCACTGGAGTTGTCCTTTGGGGACAGAATGTGAAGACGTTTCCCTGTTGAAATGGTGAATGGGGGTACGCTTTCTATTTTGTGGTAAAACTTCAAGCCCATGGCAGTGCCCCAAGTGATGGGATAAGAGCTCTGTCTGAGAGATCCCTTTGGTGAAGTATGGAGAACAGGTATGGCATTTCCACAGGCAAGATCTCTCGGCAGGAAATGAATTAGCCACCAGAGTTCTACCTTTGGCTCAGCCAGGCCTTTTTGGTTGTGTCAGAGCTAGCAGCCTGCTCAGTAATTAGAAATCAGATAAAGCTCTGGTTGTCTTGGTGGCACTGAGGGGCAAGGGGCCTTCCACCCCTGGTGAACATAGGTCAGTGAGAATACCGAGGGCCCCAGGATACTCCGAGCTCTAAAGTTTGAGGTCAGCCAGCAGGTGATCAGAGGGGAGAGACAGGGAAGTATGGATAGGAGCCCTGGTAGAGGCCCTGCCAACAGACACTGTAGGCGTCAGCTCCTCACTGAAGCCTCTCCCCAAGGTGGACCATTCCCCCAATATCCTTCATAAAACAGACCCTCACTCCCCAACCCTAATCCATTTTCCATCTTGTACTTTTCTAGTTGAAGACCTGATCAAATACCTGGATCCTGAGTACATTGACCGCATTGCCATACCTGATGCCTCTAAGCTGCAGTTCATCTTAGCAGGTGTGCAAGTGCCTCTGGGGATGCGGATTGTGGGGGAGTTTGGGCACAGAGATGGCCTCCCTGCCAGTGCTAATGGGTAAAGCCCAGGGAACTGCTGTCTGGAATTCTGGCCATCGGCTGGGCTTCAGCTGGGGTGGTCCTGTGGTTCCTGAGTAGCTCTGGGTGTGGTATGCTTCCGAACCACCTGGAGGCCATGGTGCTAGCCCCAGTGGGAGTGACTCCAATGTTCTATCAGTGGTTAACTTCTAGGATTTTCCTTTGGAATCTTTCTCACGTCTGCTCGCAGGGGACCTTCTAGGAAAGGGAGGAGCAGGGAGCATTGCATTTGGGAGAGGAAAATATTGGCATGAGTTTCTACATCTTTTTTTTATTTTTTTATTTTATTGATTTTTTACAGAGAGGAGGAGAGAGGGATAGAGAGCTAGAAATGTCGATAAGAGAGAAACATCGACCAGCTGCCTCTTGCACACCCCCTACCGGGGATGTGCCCGCAACCAATGTACATGTCCTTGACCGGAATCGAACCTGGGACCTTTCAGTCTGCAGACCGACGCTCTACCACTGAGCCAAACCGGTTTCAGCTACATCTTTTTTTTTTTCATATGAGAAAGCTCTGGGATTTCAGAGTTCTAGGCAATGTCTGCTCATCAGATAGTCAACCACTCCATGAGGCAGGGTTTTTCAAGCACCTGTGCTTGTTCATTCTTTGAAAAGATGTTTAATAATCATCTATTGCATCAAATTCAGGAAATCTCTTGCACTAACTTCTAACTATATATATATATAAAATCAATTATATATATATACACATACATATATGTATATATATATATATATATATATATATATATATATATATATATAATTGATTTTTTACAGAGAGGGGGGGAGAGGGATAGAGAGTTAGAAACATCGATGGGAGAGAAACATCAATCAGCTGCCTCCTGCACACCCCCAACTGGGGATGTGCCTACAACCCAGGTACAACGCTCTATCCACTGAGCCAAACTGGTTTTGGCTCTTGGACTAACTCTTGAATCCAGCCTCTCCCTCCCTCCCTTTGGCTGCTGCCTCAGTGTTCATCCACTCACACTTGAACGGTTACAGTTTCCCAAGTCCTCTTCTTGACCCTAGCAATTCCCTTCTTGCCTGAGGTCCAGTGTCATCTTTCCAAAACACATTTCCAACATGCCACTTTGTCTGCTGAGGAACTTCAGTGTCTCTTTCTCTCTCTCCTGGCCAGGATAAAGTCCTAAGTCCTTAGCCTGCCACTCAAAGCCTTCTGCAGTTTGTTGGATCTCCCCTCCCATCCAGCTGTTTCCTGTGCTCTCCTTTGACCAGTTCAGCAAGTTAAATTCTTTTTCCTCTGCTAATTGACAAGCACTCCTGCCTCCAGATGTTTGACATAACAGTCCTCCCTCCTTCGGTGCCCTTCCTACTCTTTGCAACCATCGAAATCCCCTGCACAGGGCCATGCTGTCCTTATTGGACTCTTCTGTCACTGCCCCAGTTCTCCAGAGCCTCTGAGCAGAACCGGCCTGGCAGCGGCCACGTCTCCTCTTTCAGACCCTCCCTTCCCAGGAGCCCTGGGTGTGGGGTCCTAAGTCCGAAGTACTTTGTCTGCTGTGGCCTCCGAGGGGCTCACTGAGTTTGTTGAGGCTAGAGGAAAAGGCCTTCAAGTTAAAAATCAGAGAAAGGTTGGATTTGGAGAAACTTAGAGGCTCCTTGGCCTCAAGATGGGTCAGACCAGAGGCATTCAGGTTGGTTGGGGGCAGAATGGGGGAATGTGCCCCTTGAGGAGGGGCAGTGGCTCCAAGCTCCAGGACCCAGCCATCTCCCCTGCCAGGATCTCAGCCTCTTGCATTGGAGTAGCAGTGCCTAGGCTTGCCTCACTGCCACTATCTTGTCTGTTTACTCCTCAGAGGAGCAGTTTGTCCTCTCCCAGGTTGCACTTCTGGAGCAGGTGGAGGCTTTGGTGCCCATGCTGGACAGCGCTCAGATCAAAGGTACCCCTCCGCTATTCCGCCTGGGGAGGTGGGTGGATGGGCAGGAACTCCCTGTGCCTCAGGCTCCCTGGGCTCAGGCTAGGTCTGCTCCTTGTCTTTATTATTTTTTTTTTTTCCTTTTCATTTTTAACCCTTATCTAAGGATTTATTATTTTTTTTAATTGATTTCAGTAAGGGAGAGGGAAAGAGAGAGAAACATTGATTGGTTGCCTCCCATACACACACCGACCAGGGATTGAACCCACAGCCTGGGTATATGCCCTGACCAGAAAGTGAACCCATGACCTCCATGGGATGCCGCTCCAACCAACTGAGCCACACCACCAGGGCCCTTGTCTTTATCTTTAACCTGGCGGCTACTTGCCTTCTGCGTTGGGATTAGAAATTGCCAAGGCAGAACCCCGCCAATTTTGGCCTAAGGATAGCAATGTAAGCCCAGCAGCCCCAACTCTGAGGATTCCTTCTGCCTTTTATCCCACCTCTCAGCACCTGTCTTTTAGGGCGCTGCAGAGCCCAGATTTTACTGTCAGAGTCTCTCTGCCAGGTATGTGAACGTGTGTTAATTCCTCCTGCCACACTGCTGAGAGCAGTCTCTATGCCTGGGTTCGGACAAGCAGACAGTGGCTTTAATTGAATCCAGATATCCGTCCTGTCTGTCTCTGGAGGTCCCAGCTCCCCCTCCCGGCCCCTGGTGAGCTACCTGCTGCGCCTCTGACAGCCTTAAGGCTTTGGGTATTGGATCTCAGGTGGCCAGCGCAGGGACCTGGCGCTTATCCTCAGCCCACCCGCAGGCACCCTGTCCCCTACGTCAGGCAGACCTGGTCCCACTGGCCGAGAGCAAAGGGACAGGTCCCACGCTAGGTAAAGCTCTTTTTACCTGCCACTGCTTCTGATGCTGGAGTGGAGGTATGGGGAACCTCTGGGGACCCCAAGGTTTTGACTTCTGGGGGCCGGTATCTTCCCCTCCTTTTTGGGTCCTAGAATATGACTGGCGTGAGCAGGGAGTCCTACCACCTCCTCCAGCTGCAGCGGTCGATGAAACCTGGCGTTTGTTTAGTTTCTCCACTCAATACTCTAATCCTGCCAAAGACCTAATAGACTATTGAGCAGTCTCGTGGGGGGGGGGGGGGGGGAGGCACAAGCATCATCGGGCAGTGTGCATTGTGTTTTACAGCCGTTCCTGAGCACGCCGCCTGCCTGCAGCGCTTGGCCCAGATCCACATCCAGCAGCAGGTATGGGGGGGAGAGAACCGGCAGGTGGTGAGGCTCCGAGTCCCCACCCCGGCCGCCTGGGGAAACAGCCTCACGGGAAACAGCCTTGGGCTCCCCTGATATCAGCTCCAGCGGAAACTTGGGGATCTATCCTTTATTTTCCATCAGCCTTAGAGAAGGGAAGGGACTCTGCTAGAGCCACATCCAGGTCTCCTGCCTCCCAAAATAGGGTTACTCTGAAACACCAAAAGGTTGAGTTGGGAGGTATTCAAGAATCCCTGGGGACGGTGTATCCTTGACCATGGGTGGAAAAGCTGTGTGTGTGTGTGTGTGTGTGTGTGTGTGTTTTACTATTACCAGGCTTTATTGTAAATTCAAAAAGGGTTCAGAAATAGGGGAGGGGGTGAGGTGAAAATGTTTCCTTAAATGTGCGGTCCATTCCTCCTTCCATCAGCTTTAAAACTGCTGTTTGTGTACCCATTTTGTGGCCTCAGTTTACCCCTTTAGAAATTTGCTTCTTTTGGCTCTGGGGTTAAGCGTCGCCTCTCTGGGGGATGAGGGGCCCTGATGAGGCAGGAAGGTTGTGGGAAACGAGGGCTTTGTCCATCTTCTTTCTTTCCCACACCTTAACCCCACAGGACCAGTGTGTGGAGCTCACTGAGGAGTCCAAGGCTCTCCTGGAGGAATACAACAAAACGGTATCCTTTCTGCTCAGCCAGGCCCCTGAGGAGTTGTACTTTTCTCCCATCTCTAGCTCTGTCTCTCAGCCCATCCCAACCAGCTCTATTCCCCTGCTCCCCCACCCTTTTGGCAGATGCAAAATATCTGCACCACCTCACTCAGACTCCTGTTTTCACCTTAACTTGCAACTAGACAATGCTTCTCTCCAAGCAGTTCGTGCAGTGGGATGAGCTTCTTTGCCACCTAGAGGCCGCCAAGCAAGTGAAGCCAGCAGAGGAGTGATGGCTGCTACCCATCCCACAGTGGGCCAGGGCAGCCAGGCTCTGGGGCCCTGTGCCAACCTCGCCTCTCTTAGGGCAGAGGCAGCTCCGTATTTATTGGATTCACAGCCTACCTGTCCGCACTCAGATGGGGCCCTGGGGTCACAGGTCAGGCTGCTTTGCCTACCCTCCCCTCATCAGTATCCTATTCCAGGGACAATAAACTGTATAGATCACCGGAGGAGTGTGCCGGATTCTTGGTCTAGGATGGGGATGGGATGAGGATGGGGGTGATGGAGGGCAGTGTTGTCAACCTTCATAGTGGCTGAACCAGGAGCTGTGCTCATCCAGGTCTAGCTTTCGGGGAGTGTAGGGCTCTCAGGACGAATGCTCTCATTTGGTTGGTGTGAGTGGAACATTCACTTATGTATCTATTTATCCCACATTTCCCAATTATCCCTCTTTATGTATGATTCCGTGCCAGGTGGGGAGGATACAGTTAGGGTCCACCTGATCCCTGCTCTGCACAGGCTAGCTGTGAGATAGTCGTGGAAAAGGGCAGTCCCATCAGGTGGACACAAGAAAAGGATGGAGGAGGCAGCCCTAGGCGATATGCAGGGTCTTTGAGAGCCCAAAGAGCAGCAGGTGCAAAGGCAGAAAAAGCCCCTAAGTTTCTTAATTGGTAGTCTTAGTAAGAGGTTTGGACCCATTAAGGAATGAGAAGGACGCATGAGAAAGAGCAGAGATTAAAATTGTCACCTCATTCCACCAAGTGTTTGCTGCCCCCTTGTGGCCTCAGGGGGTGCTGTAGCTCCAGGCTCCCACCTCCGCTGTCTCAGGCATCTCAAATTCAGCTTGTCCGAAACAAGTCTGGAGCTGGAAGTCCTCCTAGGCCCTTACCTCCTTTGTCCAAAAAGCCACCAGCTTCTCACCGTGCATACCTCCTAATATCCCAACTTAATCTGCATTTCTCCATTCCCACTGCCATTTTTCCGCCTCGTTCACTAATTTAACAAACATTCGGGTACCTGTTATAAGCCCGGCACCTGAGTGTCTCAGTGGCCACATCCCCAGGACCCAGGGGCCTGTGAATCACTAGCGATTGCGGCCAGATTCTTCCCCCTCCTTCCTTCAATGCAGCCAGAGTGAGCTGTGCACACGAGCTATGTTGACTGACCCCTGAAGAAAACTCCCTGGCCCGCTAGTGCCTACGGAATGAGGTCAAAGCGCAGAACTCGGCGACCAAGGCTCCGCCCGTGCAGCAGCCACTCCAGACGGAGCCTCGTGTCCCTGTCCAGAGTGAAGCCTTTGCTAACGTGCAAGGGCCAAGACCTTCCCATCCTTCAGATGCGAGGCGCCTCCTCCCGCCCCAGTAGGAGTGCCCCTTCCCCAGGCGGGACACCATAGACTGAGCGTGCTTTGGATCCCTGGACGTCCCAGCCGTCCCGGCCATTCCGGCCAAACTTACTCCTAGACTTCCTGGTCACCCAGTTTACCGCAGGGGCTCCGCGGGTCCCGCTCCTCAGGCCCCGCCCCGCCAAGACCACGCCTCTCATCCCAGGCTCCGCCCCACCCATCATACTGGGCCCCGCCCTCCTCAGATCTCGCCCTGCAGGCACCGCCCACCCACGAGACCACGCCCCTCAGCATAGGCCCCGCCTACAGGCATGCGCGGTCCCGTGGCCTCGGCGCGTTCCCGGCCAGCGCGCCATCTTGGCTCTGGGTCGGGCTTGAGGCGGCGCAGTTGCGGCGGTGAGAGCCGGAACCTAGCGGGTTGGGGGTCACCTGGAGGTGGGGGCGGGCAGGGGAGGCCGGCGTTGGGCCGTGCGGCCTGCAGGAACTGGGGCGACCTGTGGCGATAGAGGCAGCCGAGCCGGCGGGCCCGACGCCTGGAGTTCCCCAAGCAAGTCCGCGCCCGCCGCTCTCCCCCCATTCCATGGGGTAGGGGGGTGACTGGGAATCTCGGGGTGAGGGGTGCTCGACCCTGTTCTGGGGATTTCGGTGCGACGGAGGGGTTAGTTCTGTCTTTGAGGGTTTTAAAAAAAATAATTTATTGTTGAAAGTGTTACACACGCCCCCTTTTTCTCCCCATTGACTCCTAGCCCGCCCTGGCCCCAGGCCTTATATTCACACTAGGTCTTTGGTTGATCTCTTCCCACCCACCCTTGAGGGGCATTTGACCAGGGCTCTTGTCTCTGCCTCAAAGCTTGAGGGGATTTGGACCTTTTCTTTCTTTTAAAATATATTTTATTGATTTTTTACAGAGAGGAAGAGAGAGGGATAGAGAGTTAGAAACATCGATGGGAGAGAAACATCCATCAGCTGCCTCTTGCACATCCCCTACTGGGGATGTGCCTGCAACCAAGGTACATGGCCTTGACCGGAATCCAACCTGGGACCTTTCAGTCTGCAGGCGGACCCTCTATCCACTGAGTCAAGCCGGTTTTGGCTGGACCTTTCTTAAAGAGCCCAGTGCTGTGGGAATTTGGTCCAGCCTCGGGCAGAGGGAGGGTTAAGGCCCTGCCTGGGGAATGGGGTGTGTGAGGTACAGCCCTTCCCAAGGTGAGGCAGGAGTGGCCCCTGTTGGTTGTCTTGTTCCTGGAGATCGGGGATGAGGAGCGGGGCTGTGTCTGGGAGAGCCAGGGCACACTGCTGAGCATTCATCTGGTTCTTCCTTGCAGTGGGCAGTGAGAGTCGAGGCAACAGCCAGCAGGATGGAGCACTACCGGAAAGCTGGCTCTGTGGAACTCCCGGCGCCGTCCCCGATGCCCCAGCTTCCTCCTGATACCCTGGAGATGCGGGTCCGAGATGGCAGCAAAATCCGCAACCTGCTGGGGCTGGTGCTGGGTCGTTTGGAGGGCGGCGGCACGAGACACGTGGTGTTCTCAGGTTCCGGCCGGGCTGCGGGGAAGGCTGTCAGCTGTGCTGAGATCGTCAAGCGGCGGGTCCCAGGCCTGCACCAGCTTACCAAGCTGCGCTTCCTGCAGACTGAGGACAGCTGGGTACCAACCTCCCCGGACACAGGCCTAGATCCCCTCACAGTGCGCCGACATGTGCCTGCAGTGTGGGTACTGCTGAGCCGGGACCCCCTGGACCCCAATGAATGTGGCTACCAGCCCCCAGGGGCGCCCCCTGGCCTGGGCCCCACACCTAGCTCCAGCTGTGGCCCCCGACCCCGCAGAAGGGCTCGAGACACGCGGTCCTGAAGACCGGCTGAGCAAGCTATTCTCCAAGCCCGACCGTCTGACAAGCCTCTAACTGCTCAGCATCCCCAACAAGACTTGAATCCACAGAGTGGGCCTCCCTGTTCTGATTCCCCTTCCCTCTGGCATATAAAAGGGGCTGCTACAAAGAGTGACAGGTGTGGGGTCTCAGCTGGCTTACTCTGCCTTCCATACAGTGCCTCTGATCTGCCTTCAGACAGAGGTCCAGGGAGTGGGTTAGGAAATAAAGGTTTTGCCGTTTGTCTGTCTGGTGAGCCGCCTCTGCTTGGTCTGCTATGTGGAAATGGGGTTAAGAGGGTGGGGGTCTCTGCTCTTGTCCCCCAGGAGCTCACAGGCCGGACAGAGACAGGAAGTGTAGGCTCAGGCTATTGCTGGGAGGATCTAGAGTCGTTAACAAGCCTCAAACAGTAACCTGACTAGATCTAGATCTTGGGTGGGTCTACTGGGTGCTTTGGGTTGGTTTAAGGACTCTGCCGGGGCGGACATTTTTCTCTGTCTGTGGCATATATATCATAATAGTGGTTATGGTTATGGTCTCAGGCACTAGACTGTCTAGATTTGAATCCTGATTCTGCCTCTAGATTATTAGTAAGTTACTGCTTTGTGCCTTAGTGTTCTCATCCAAAAAACAGGATATAGTGCTTACCTGTTTTATAGTGTTACGGTTTTTATGAGGATTGAATGTAGAAATACACACATAACTCTTAGACACTACCTGGGCTTGTAGTGCTATGTAAATATTAATTGCCAAATTATTAATGACTCACCTCACAAATGTGCTTTTTTTAATTTTTAAATATATTTTATTGATTTTTTACAGAGAAGAAGAGAGAGGGATAGAGAGCTAGAAACATTGATAAGAGAGAATCATCAATCAGCTGCCTCTTGCATACCCCTTATTGGGGATATGCCCGAAACCAAGGTACATGCCCTTGACCGGAATCGAACCTGGGACCTTTCAGTATGCAGGCTGACTCTCTATCCACTGAGCCAAACTGGCTTCGGCAAATGTGCTTTTTCTTATCTTAAAAACACACCTTCATCTCAAATCTGCCCTTCAGGTTTCATCTTTGCTTTTTTACCCCTGGCTGCTCCTTTTCTGCCTCACATTGGCTTTAGACTCTTAGATTCACCATGGTCAGGTCAGGGGCATGAGGGAAGAGGTAAAGATTGCAATGGGAACCAGGGGCTGCAGGGACCAGAGCAGGATTGTGGGCCGTGGCTGACTTAGTGAAGAGGTGAGCCAATTGGGTCTCCCACTGAATTTTTTAAAAATTACATTTGAGAAAAAAATTACATTTGATGTTCAAAATATTAGTTTCAAGTGTAAAGCTTAGTGGTTGGACATGACTTAGGAAGTGATCCCACTGGATTTTGGGGTTTCCAATGTAACCTGGGTGTTCAGTCACCAGGGAAGCACAAAGTTTGGGTTCTTCTGGGCTCATGTTGTAGCAGAATGGGCTCAGCAATTTGAGTATTGAAGTGATGTTTGGCTGAGGTGCGGGCAGGAGGGGTTGAGATGTTGGTGAAGACAGAGCTGGGGGGACTTGAGGCCTCAGTAGGGCTTAGAGCAGGGATGAGGAGACCACAGGACCAGCAGGTTGTGGTCAAAACTGAACACTGCTTCACCCTTTGCTTTCTGAGGTATGTTCCCAGAGTGATGAAGACGCTGAGGGAGAGGCAGGTGATGGAAATTCAGGGGTTATTAGGAGAGATGGGGGAAACTCAGCAGCTGCCTGGCCAGGCCTCTCAAATGTAGGGGGTCATGAAGCACCCAGTATACTCCTAGGACTGTGGTGATGACTCAGGTGTCTTGCTACCAACAACTGCCAGACTTCTCCCTATTCTCTTTGTGGCTAATCCAGGTTTTTTGCTTATTGTCTTTTTCTGCATATTGTCTTTTCTCTGAGCATTTCCACTGGTGTGTCTTCGACCATCAACAGCTCTTTGAGTGGCATTGGTCCCCAGAACTTTGGAACCAGGCTACTTGCAGACTGTTGGTCTTTGGCTCAGCATCCCATCCTGATCCACCCTACTGTGGCCAGAGTGGAATGATCATGTGGAATAAGCATGGTGACTGTGGTGAAGGAACGATTCAGTAAGGTGGCATTACAAGCTCCGGGTGTTCTAGGAGGGGCTCCCAATTAGGTGGCTCATCACCAGAGGACCACCTGGGATCTCCAGGGTGATGGTAGGGGTAGTGCGGAGAGAAACTGAGCTGGGGTCAAGATCTCTTGGGAAGAACAGTGTCTGCAACTTAGAGAATCAGGAAATAGGCCACAGGCTGAGGAAGGGATGGATGGCTAGTGATTCTGGGGCTTTTTCTCTCCTTGGCCTTTATAGGGTCCAACTGGGGCCTAGAGAAGGAAATGTGGGGAGGGAGCAGAGAGAAGGGAGGCCTTTGGAGGTTGGAAAGAGTTTTCGTTGTGTATAAGTGCTGATTCAGGTATTTGGGCTTTTGTGTTTTGTTTTTCACTTTCTACTCTATTGTTAAGCCACTGCAGTATGGCATTTCCCTCCAACATTTTTATTTTTTAAGAAAAGGTTATGCATGCCAGCTGGCATGGTTCAGTGGTTGAGCGTCAACCTAAGAATCAGGAGGTCACAGACACATGCCTGGCTCAATCCCCAGCGTGGAGTGTGCAGGAGGCAGCCAATCAATGACTCTCTCTCATCATTGATTCCCCCCCCCCCCTTCCTCTCCCTTCCTCTCTGAACTCAATAAAAATATATTTTTATTTTTATTTATTTATTTTTTAAAATATATTTTATTGATTTTGTACAGAGAGGAAGGAAGAGAGATAGAGAGCCAGAAACGTCGATGAGAGAGAGTCATCGATCAGCTGCCTCCTGCACACCCCCTACTGGGGATATGCCTGCAACCAAGGCACATGCCCCTGACCGGAATCGAACCCGGGATCCTTCAGTCCCCAAGCCGACGCTCCATCCATTGAGCCAAACCGGTCTTGGCAAAAATATATTTTTAAAAAGGAAAAGGTTATGCCACTTCTAAACAGCTCTTTCAAGAAGTTGGATTGTGTTGCCGAAACCAGTTTGGCTCAGTGGATAGAGCGTCAGCCTGCGGACTTAAAAGGTCCCAGGTTTGATTCCAGTCAAGGGCATGTACCTTGGTTGTGGGCACATCCCCAGTAGGGGGTGTGCAAGAGGCAGCTGATCGATGATTCTCTCTCATTGATGTTTCTAACTCTATCCCTCTCTCTTCCTCTCTGTAAAAAATCAATAAAATATATACATATATATATTTTAAAAAGTTGGATTGTGAATTGGTGGAGAGAGGTGATAAATAGCTGGAGAGGAATGTAGACTACAGGGAGAATTTTATTTTTAATGGGTTGGCAGAGATTTGAACATGTTTGCAGGCTAATGGACAAAGCTTCTGATTTTCCTTATCCTGGCCCAACCCCCCACTTTTTTGTCTATGTAATTTACTTCTTTAGTGTTTTTGTTTATCTCTCTCCTCCTGATGAGAATGTTAACTCCAAATGGGCAGGAATTTTTGCTTTGTTAATTTTTTTGTTAATCCTCACTGGAGGACATTTTTTTCCGTAGATTTTCTGAGAGAGTAGAAGGCACGGAGGCTGGTAAGAGAGACACAGAGAGAAACGTGTGTGAGAGAGACACATCCATTGGTTACCTCTCCTACACGCCCTGACCAGGGCAGGGGATCAAGCCTGCAATGGAGATATGTGCCTTTGACTGGAATCAAACCCGGGACCCTTCAGTCCACAGGCTGATGCTCTATCCACTGAGCCAAACAGGCTAGGGCTAACCTAAGGATCTTGTTTTTTTTAATTTAAAAAAATATATATTTTATTGATATTTCCAGAGAGGAAGGGAGAGAGACAGCTAGAAACGTTGATGAGAGAGAAACATCGACCAGCTGCCTCTTGCACCCCCCCCACCGGGGATGCGCCCGCAACCAAGGTACATGCTCTTGACCAGAATCGAACCTGGGACCTTTTAAGTTCACAGGCTGACGCTCTACCACTGAGCCAAACCGGTTTCGGCTAACCTAAGGATCTTGAACATAGTAGGTGCTTGATAAATATTTAATGAGTGAATGAATGAAAATATTGAGCCTCCAAGTATGTCACCACACCCAGATCTCAGCCCATGCCCATTTTAGAGGGCAAGATCCAAATTAATTCACTGGATAGCCTTAAAGGATCCCCTTGATTGGTCACTGCCATGGTTTGATCCCCTTGGACCCTGGGCTTTGGTCACATTAATGCCTCACTCTTCCCACATGACATGAGATTTTTCTGCCTCTTTGCTCTTCCCATTCTGTCTGTCTGGAACTCATCAAGAATGTTCAAAAGATGCCAAGACCGGTTTGGCTCAATGGATAGAGCGTCGGCTTGGGGACTGAAGGGTCCCGGGTTCGATTCCGGTCAAGGGCATGTACCTTGGTTGCGAGCATATCCCCAGTAGGGGGTGTGCAAGAGGCAGCTGATCGATGACTCTCTCTCATCGATGTTTCTAACTCTATCTCTCTCCCTTCCTCTCTGTACAAAATCAATAAAAAAATATTTTAAAAAAAGAATGTTCAAAGGATACCAGTGCTAGGCTTTGAGCATTCCTCAGTGCCTACCTCCCCACTCCCCTCTGTTTGCCTAGATCACCAGCCTGGAGCTCATGGATCAGGCCTAGTTCTATTAATATTAGTATAGGATATCTCCAGCTCACACTCCGGTGTTTGTACTGGGGTCATGTCTAGCTGCGCTTCTGAGTCTGGCCACCAGGTGGTAGCATTCTCAAAGGGATACCCATTCTTCCCTTTGCTGTCTGCAGAGGTCCCCATAAACATCAAGACAGAGGATAGTCTAGGCTTGAAATTTGGCCCTCAGTGGGCGCAGTAACCTCTCAGTTATTCAACAAATAGTTAATGATCACCCATAATGTAACAAATATCACTGGGTTTGGAACCTCCAGTCCCATGAAGATTATAATCACATATACTATTATAGTACAGATAATTTCACTATTGGTGTTTTGAGTTTAGAGATTAGGGTAGTTCACTAGACTTCAAGAGTTCAGAGCCCTTTATCTAGTCTTTAGGACAGGCAAAGAAGAAGAGGAAGTGATGCTTGTATAGAATTGCGAGGAAGAGAGAAGTGGAAAGGGCATTCTGGGTAAAGTGTGGGCATGAACTAGGACATAGAGGTGAAAGGAACAAAGAAGTGATCACTGGAGTTTGAGGTTCAAGGCAGGAGCTTGAGGAATGAGG